TTCGAAATAATTAAGTTTAGAGCAAACAAAAAAAAAAACTTGATCAGTATATGAAAGATGAGGGGGGAAAAAGTAGATGCATAAAAAATCAAAGTTTAATTCTTTTTAAGCATAGGACTAACTTTATAGGAAATCTATTAAAATTTGATGAACAAATCAAAAGGCATTTAAAAGGAGACTTAAGATCCACAATCAAATGCAATATGTGAACCTTGGTAGATCTTCACTCAAACAAGCCTACTATAAAAGACATTTTTGGGGGCCGGGCACGGTGGCTCAAGCCTGTAATCCCAGCACTTTGGGAGGCCGAGGCAGATGGATCACGAGGTCAAGAGATCAAGACCATCCTGGTCAACATGGTGAAACCCCGTCTCTACTAAAAATACAAAAAAAAAAAAATTAGCTGGGCATGGTGGCACGTGCCTGTAATCCCAGCTACTCAGGAGGCTGAGGCAGGAGAATTGCCTGAACCCAGGAGGCGGAGGTTGCGGTGAGCCGAGATCGCGCCATTGCACTCCAGCCTGGGTAACAAGAGCGAAAACTACACCTCAAAAAAAAAAAAAATGCATTTTTGGAAGAGTCAGGGTAATTTGGGTATTCGAAGATAATATGGAATTATCATCGTTAGATGCCATTACAATATTATGGTTATGTAAGAAAATTTCCTGAATTTATAGTGGCACGCTAAAATACTTAGGAATTGGAACATCATGATATGTGGTATCTGCTTTGAAATACTTCAACAAAGACAATAACATCAACCAGGCACAGTGGCTCATTCCTATATTCACAACACTTTGGAAGGCCAAGGTGGGAGGACCACTTGAACCCAGGGGTTTGAGCCCAGCCTAGGCAACATTGTAAGATCCTGTCTCTTCAAAAAAATGTTTAAAAAAAAGGCCGGGTGTGGTGGAATATGCCTGTAGTCCCAGCTATTACTCAGGAGAGTAAGGCAGGAGGATCTTGAGCCCAGGTGTTCGAAGCTGCGGTGGGCTATGATTACACCACTGTACTCCAGCCTGGGCAACAGAGCAAGACCCTGTCTTTATTAAAAAAAAAAAAAAAAGAAGAAGAAGAAGAAGAAGAAAGAAAGAAAAGAAAGTAACATCCGTGAGACAAATAACAAAATGTTAACAAGGGATGGGGTACAGTATACTATTCTCTCTATTGTTAGAAATTTTTTAAATATTTTAAAATTAAATTGTGTTTTAATAAAAGGGGCAAAGAAAGCCTGATAAAATATCCCATCCATCCATGCATAAAGTTGTAATAAGTTTGGCTGCCTGAGTCAAAGAAGGAAATGGCTAAAACCAAGTTTATCTTAGATTACAAAGACACCTGAGGAAAATTTTTATACTGTATTGCCTTTGTGGGACTAATTGTATAATGTAGGCAAGATGAGTATCTGCCTTCAATTTTGCTGGCAAACTATCAAATTTCTCCGTAATGGAGGTGAAGTGAGGGATGGCAGGAGGCTTATTATTATTATTTTTAATTGCATTTTAGGTTTTGGGGTACATGTGAAGAACATGCAAAATTGTTGCATAGGTACACATGTGGCAGCGTGATTTGCTGCCTTCCTCCCCTTCACCTATATCTGGCATTTCTCCCCATGCTCTCTCTCCCCAACTCCCCACCCCCAGCTGTCCCTCCCCCTATTTCCCCCAACAGACCCCAGTGTGTAGTGCTCCCCTCCCTGTGTCCATGTGTTCTCATTGTTCAACACCCACCTATGAGTGAGAACATGCGGTGTTTGATTTTTCTGCTCTTGTGTCAGTTTGCTGAGAATGATGGTTTCCAGGTTCATCCATGTCCCTGCAAAGGACACGAACTCATCGTTTTAGGAGGCTAATTATTAAACAGCTTTACAACTGCATTAAGCCTGTGAGGAGAAGATGGGCACACACCAGTCAACTCTGTCCATTCCACTCTCTGACCTAGACCCCCACTATCTTGGAGCCAAGGATCTCATTGGGTTCTATTTAAACAGAAGGTGAATTTTGTCCCTCCTTTATTAAGAAGTCTTTACAAAGTCTCCCATATTATGGACTGCTTTTTGAAATGCTATTTTGAACAACAAAGTACCACATGGAAGAAGATATCTCAATTATTGCCAATTTTAGATGCTTATAAGGTCCCTGCTCAAACTCCTTTACAATGTAGAAAAAAATTCTAATACGGTAATTGTTCCTGAGAGAATGAGCTCAAAGTGCAGGTGCAGGATGTAGTTGTAAATAAGCCTTTAATAGTAAAGACCACTTTAAAAAGCAATCTGGCAAGTGGTCACTTTGTGGAGATCAGACATTCATCTACAAGAAGTATGAAACTAGGTACTTGTAGCTGGGAGTACAATTTTTAAAATTTTATCAGATAAGGATCAAAAGACAGCTTGTATTAAAAACAGCTTAGATGAAGTGAAGATGATGTGCTTTGCAAAATGCATTAGGTGACTCAGAAAGTGGCTCTAATGATGAGCAGTTCTCCAGCGTTGGCAATGGATGTGAAGTTTGAAGCACATTCTTTTCACGAAGAAGGTGAGAGTGTTTTTGAGACAGGATGACAAAGAAGGTGAGAGATCTAGGGACAGCTAGTTTGCAGAAGGCAAGACCTACTCAGTAAGGACCTACAGGGTAAACACCTGTAAGATACAAATGGCACATAATAAATGTCTCTCCAAGTATTTGAAGAGTAGTTGTACGGAAGCAGAGTTGATTTATTGTGTTTTTTACAAAGCAGAAATTAAATGAACAAATGTTACATGGCAGTAGATATTTGGTCAATAAAAGTAAGTATGTTATAGTAACTGGATCTGTCCAACACTGAATTTGAAAAGCCACGTGTAAGTAAAGCCTTCCTGACCAAATAGAAGGAATGAAGTTGACGTAATTTGCCTTTATGGTCCTTTCAATGATCAGATTCTATTATTTTATCAAATTATCTCCAAGCTGGCAACAAAGCTGATAACTGCATTTATTTTTTAAACATACAGTTGGCCTTCTGAATTTGTGTGTTCTGTATCCACGGACTCCACTGAACAGCAGATTGAAAATATTCGGAAAAAAAAAACTGATAAAATATAATACCACCTATATATATACTTTTAAACTGATGACTTTGTGCTGTTGACTAATCTCCTTGTGAGATTGTCATAAAAAGGAATGAAATCATGTCTTTTGCAGCAATATGGCGGCCAACATGAAATAGAGGCCATTACCCTAAGGGAAATCATTCAGAAAATCAAATATTGCATGTTCTCACTTATAAGTGGGAACTAAACAACAGGTCTATGTGGACATACAGAGAGGAATAACAGACCTTAGAGACTCCAAAAGCAGGGAAGAGGATGCTGGTTGAAAAATCACCAATGGAGTACAACGTTCACTATCCAGGTGACAGGTACACTAAAAGCTCAGACTTCACCACTATACAACATATCCATGTAACAAAACTGCACATACACCCCGCAATCTCTAAAAATTTTAAAAATTTAAATATATACATATTAAATCAGTGTGTATATAGGCATGAAAAAAAAACAATACCACAATAGAAAAATAAAACAAAAAAAAATACAATGTAACAACTATTTGCATAACATGTATATTGTATTAGGTATTATACGTAATGTAGAGATGATTTAAAATATACAAGAGAATACGTGTAGGTTATATGCAAATACGATTCCACTTGATAGAAGGAACTTGAGCATCTGCAGATTTTGGTAGCTTTGGGGGTCCTGGAACCAATATTCTTCGGATGCCAAGGGATCATTTTATTGTTTTAATTTATAACGTATATTTTTTTAACTGGTTGCTCTGTAAGAATCATTACATTAAGTTTTACATGTAACAAAACATATATAAAAATAATGCAAGGGCCTGGCGCAGTGGCTCACGCCTATAATCCCAGTACGTTGGGAGGCCGAAGCGGGTGGATCACGAGATCAAGAGATCGAGACCATCCTGGTCAACATGGTGAAACCCCGTCTCTACTAAAAATACAAAAAAAATTAGCTGGGCATGGTGGCACATGCCTGAAATCCCAGCTACTCAGGAGGCTGAGGCAGGAGAATTGCCTGAACCCAGGAGGCGGAGGTTGCGGTGAGCCAAGATCGTGCCATTGCACTCCAGCCTGGGTAACAAGAGCGAAACTCCATCTCAATAAATAAATAGATAAATAAAAAATAAAAAAATATTAATGATAGAAATATACAATCAAGGAAGGTTATATATATGCATGCACGTTAACATGTACCACAGCATGTATATCATCCCATTCCTCGCCTGGGCTTTGTCCTGAGATTAAAGCAGATACGTAACAAAGGCATGATCTAGTTAGACTTCTCATCTTTTTCTAGGGTGTATTTTGATTGCCTTGTCTCTAGGCCAGACTATCTGCCTGTCCAAGAATAAACTGATTTATCCATAGTGAAGATATGAGTCAAATATTTTGGCTTTGCTCTGAAGCCTTTCTTGGCTTGGACACAAGACACTGGGACTTTGTCTTCCAATTTCCCAACCTGTTCTCAAATCATCTCCAAGACTATTATACAGAGAATTAACAATGGGAATTATCCAACAGACCTTCCAAATACAACAACCAATAAAGCAACATCGAAATTACATAAAACCATTGGTCACTAATTTCTATCCTTGATCACAAGATTAGTCAACAGCACCAAGTCTTCAGTTTGAAAGCAACCCTGCAGAGCAAAACAATTCCAGGGCTAGAAGTACTAATGAAACACAACTCTTTGGTATATGAAGCATCATAAACTTACTAAATACAGTAGAGGAAAAGCTGATAAATACTCTTGCAATATAATGATACCTAATGATATAAATACAAGTAAAACATTAAACTGAAATAATCACATTTGAAAAAGTCACCTTCAAACAATTTTTAAAAATCACGAGCAGGGGCTATATAAACCATTCAACAATTTTTCCTCAAACAATCTGCAAATAAAAGTTTTCTCAGTTCTAATCTGAGAAGCTGACCTGAGATTGTTGAAAAAGGATGCTTTTTTCTGGGTTTATGCCGCAGGCAAGAAGAGTAGCAGTCATGTCCAGGATGCTTTGCCGAAGGACAGCGGGGTCATGGGGGACAGTGATGGAGTGAAGGTCAACAATGCTGTACAACACAGAGTCGTATTCATCTTGCAACCTCACCCAGCTCTCAATGGCTCCCAGGTAATTGCCCAAGTGGGGGATTCCTGTAGGTTGAATGCCAGAAAATACTCGCTTCTTGCTGTCTTTCTGGAACAAAGGAAAACAATCATATTTGCTTTTGAGGCAGAATCCATGAATCCGATGCCCACGTTATCATAGCTATGGGACCTAGTTCTATTTTTGTAAACTACAATCTGACAGTCATGATCATCCATTTATTTTGGGCCTACTCTAACTCTCTATGCTAGGTACTACTGAGGACAAAAAAAAATGATATTAAAAATGTTTTTGCACTCAAACGTGTACAAACGCAAAGATGTATAAGAAAAGATCAGCAGCTGGGTGCGGTGGCTCATGCCTGTAATCCCAGCACTTTGGGAGGTCGAGGAGGGTGAATCGCCTGACGTCAGGAGTTCAGGACCAGCTTGGACAACATGGTAAAACCCCATTTCTACTAAACACACAAAAATTAGCCGGCCGTGGTGGTATGCCTGCTATCCCAGCTATTTGGGAGGCTGAGGTGGAAGAACTGCTGGAATCTGGAAGGCAGAGGCTGCTGCAGTGAGCCAAGATCACGTCACTGCACTCCAGCCTGGGCAGCAGAGCGAAACCCCAAATCAAAAAAAAAAAAAAAGAAAGAAAGGGGAGGGGAGGGGAATGAAGGGAAGGGGAGAGGAGGGGAGGGGAGGGGGGGAGGGGAGGGGAGGGGGGAAGGGGAGGGGGGAGGGGAGGGGGGGAGGGGAGGGGAGGGGAGGGGGGAGGGGAGGGGAGGGGGGAGGGGAGGGGAGGGGGGAGGGGAGGGGAGGGGGGAGGGGAGGGGAGGGATCTGCATCCCCAAGAGAATGTGATCTAATTGGAGACAGAGAATATTGTTTATAAAAAAGTAAGTAAAGGTATAATGGGGTGCCATGATCACGGCCAGTTTGGAATGATACAGAGTAGGGTTCAGAGAGGAATTCCCAGGAGGAAAAGAGAACTGGTTTGGTGGTCAATGAGGAAGCCTTCAGACACAGAATCAAATTTCAGTGGAGATTAAAGGGGCCTCAGGGCTTTTCACGTGATTTCATTTATTTTGGAGTTAAGGAAATGAAGGCCTTGGGATTACTGCTAAAGACTACTGCTGTTGCCTTAAGATTTTTAAAAATACTGGTGATATTATAATTTAATGTATAAGATCTTGGGCTAGAAATTAGGAAACATACACTCTATTTCCAATATTACTTCCTAATAAGATTATTTAAATTTTCTATGTCTTGGTTTCCTTTTACTTTTAATAAAAACATATTTAGGTTTTCAATTCTTCAAAAGGAGATTTTAATTCTAGACAATCATTTAAATTATAAAAAACATTTGTATCCTGGTCATGTTTTCCCTTTGGTTTATACTTTCTAATACTGAAGTTATAATAGGAAAACGAAAAGAAAAAAATGCAATACAAATTTTTACAAATGCTATTTTTCCCCTGAATTATTTTATAATACATTCCACAGTGAAAAATCAAAAATGAGTATGTATCAATAAATGTGCTGTAATCAAAAGGCTCTGAAAAATAAAATGCTTCATTATCATTTTTAACCACCTCCACAACAAAACTGTAATAGCAGCAATAATTTACTGAACAACTACCATGTTGTAGGCATTTATGCTCAGTGCTTTACATAAATTAATACATTTAATCCTTATAATACCTTTTATGGCGAGCATATTATTACCTCCAATTTCCAGATGAGGGAAGTAAGGCTCACAGAATTTACTAGATTGCCCATGGTCACACAGCTAGTAGGTGGTGAAGTTGAGATTTCAGGCCAAGTATCACGTATGTTCCCTGTACTGGCTACTATGCCTTGCTTAGCTACCATCTATTAAGACTTTATCATATTCGTTGTATTTATTTTGTAACTTTTCAGTTGGTTTAAAAATTTGCAAAACAAAAATTCACAGGGACAAAAAAGACCATTCTTATGCGACTTGGTAAAAGCCGCATAAAACTGCATACCTCAACCATCCCTCGGCTTTCTATTGAAACTGCTCTCTGTAACCCAAATGTGACAGGCAAGCCGTCCAAACCCATGCCATCTTGGCCCCTGCGACTTGTAATAAGTAATTAAGGACTGTAATTTCCATCCTACCCAGACAATGTGTAAACAAATGCTAATCTTGACTCTTGTGAACCACTTAAGTAACAATCAGAATGTCCAAAGTCCCCTGGCCCTTGGAATGTCCAGAACCCCTCACCCTTATCTCCGCCCAGGAGGTGATTTACAGAATCCACTAGCCCTCAGAACGTCTGAAGCCCCTCACCCCCTACGCCTGCTCCTCTCCCTCACTCCCGAGATGGTTTTACAGGTATAACCAAAGATCTTGACACCCTCCGTTCAGGGCCAAGGGTTGGAGAGACACGAGTCCTCCATGGCCACCGGCAATAAAGACCCTGCAATGTGGCATACTTTTGTCTTGGTGTTGACTTTCTATGCTTGGGCCAGTACAGCATTTACACAGGTTTCTTTGTGTGTTATGAGCCAAGTTTTTCTAGTATATATATCTAGGAGCAGAATTGCTGAGTCATAAAGTATGTGTATGTATCTTCAACTGTAGTACTTCAAAGTGGTGAACTATTCCTAACTATGTAACATTATACACTTTCTACCAAGTTCCTGTGGCAGAAAGTGTATCCTCATCAACACTTGGTATTGGCAGGCTTTTTATTTTTGCCTAATCTAATGGAAATGAGGTAGAATCTCATTATGGTTTAATTATCTTTGATTATTAAAGAAGTTGAGAACTCTTTTTATGATTATTGGCTATTTTTACCTCCTCTTCTATGAAGAGCCTACTTAAATTATTATGCCTATTTTTTCAGATTGGATTGTCTTTTATTGATTTAAGAATGTATGTATTCTAGATGTTAATATTCTGTCAATTACATGTAGAGTGAATATTGTCTTACTGTGTGGCTGTCCTCTCTTTATGTTATCTTTTGATAAAGACAAGTACTTAATTTTACAAATCAAATATATAACTTCTAATAACAGACTATTATATTACAGAAGAAATCTTTCAATACTGTGAGGTTATGAAGGTGCGTATGTGTGTGTACATACATGGATATATACATATAGCTGTACACACAAACATACACATATATAAAATTGTGTGTGTGTGTGCATGTGTGTGTGGGCTTTAAAGTTTTATCTTTACTCTTCACATTTAGGTCTCTATCTATCTGGAGTTTTTTGCATATGGTGTCATATAAGCATCTAATTTTTTCTTTTATTCCCTATATGAATATCCGATTATTCTAGCATCATTTATTGAAAAGACTGTCTCTTCCCACTGCTTTAAAATGCCATCTCCATCAAAAATCAAGGATCACTATATTAAGAATCTGGTAAGGGTCTGGTCTTTCAATTCTGACTCATTAGTCTATCTGTAACTGTGTCAGTATCACATTGCTTTTTAAAAATACATCTTGGGACCTAGTAAAGTGAGGCTTTCCACCTTCTTTTTCTTCAAGAGCACTTTATCCATCCTTGGTCCTTTATACATATCAATATATTTTAGAATCATCTTGTCAAGTCTCAAGAGGAAAAAAAAAGTGTTCGTTTTTTCTTCTTCTTTTTAGATCAGATTAGAAGCTGCAGTTGTTGGCTGAGGTTGCTGTCTGGGATCACATTGCAGCTATAGATTGTTTCAAGGAGAACTGACATCTTTATAATGTTGAGTCCTCCAATCCAGGAAGCCACAAAGCATGTTAGGTCTTTTTTATACCTAATGCTAGCTCCTGAGAGCGAATCTACTTTTGATATGTGAGTGCCAAGGCCACTTAAATTTGGTATTTCCAAATCCGACAAAGTATAGTCTGTTTTCCTCTCAACTCCTAAGATTGCAATCATAAAATAGAATGTGACATCATAGTTCCGTGGTCCAGAACTGTGCTTGATCCAAGAACTCAGGAGGAGACACAAATGATTTGTGGCTCTGAGGATATGAACAATATCCTTCAGGTAATTGAGAACAAATACAATCTTACACTCAAAATCACAAACATGCACATAAAAGGCTTTCAAGTGATGAAATCCCCAAATCATAATTTAGAAACAATATTTTTAAAATAATTCCTACTTGAGAATTGAGACAGAGAGAGAAGTTAGCATAGAATGAGTACCTATTAGTAAGGCTCCCTCCAGGACCTACGGACCTTAACCAGCTACGGGTTCCTGATATGGGAATAAGCAAAGGAATTTTCAGTGCAGCAAGAAATGATTAATGGGCTTTAGGGACTGATTGATGAAGAGAGAAAGCGAAGCAGAAAAACAAACTCTGAAGTTAATAAATGGAAAGGAAAAAAATACCATCCTGAAATACTTGACCTAGGAAGATAAGGGACTGTTTATGGTAATGTAAAGCATTATGAAGACTAGGAATTTTAAGTTGAAAAAAAACAGGGATTTTTCACATATATTCCTCCATCTTCAAACTCAGAAATTATTCCCCAGGAGAAATGGAGAAATCACATTCTTGAGAAAACCAGAAGAGAAACGCACCAGAGAAGAGACTGTGGGAAAAAAGTATTGTGACCAGTGGGAATGGGGTAGTCAGGATTTAATACATCTTTTCCATTCTCTAGTTTCTGGGATTCTATATATTAGTATAGAGGGAATGATATTATCAGGCAATGAGAGCAACAAGCAGTGTTCTGTTCAATTTTGAAGGCGCTATTTAAAAAATACAGCCTCTAAATGGGAACTGGATTCCTGGTCTTAAAAATATACAGAGAGCGTCCTGCCCTTCTGCAGTGAGTTTATGTTCCTGTCTGTTCCCTCTGCAAGAGTCAGCAGGTGGCCTGACGGCATGGCAGGGGAGACATGCCAGGTATCATGAAATCACGGGGTTGGAATGTGGAGTTTGGGTGGTGGGAGGATGGGGGTTCTGTGTTCAAAATCGCTAGACTTAGAAAATAATGAAAACGAAAGGAGCTTGGCCTTCCTACGGGTTTGGACAGGAGTCAACCCACAAAGAAAACAGCTTCTAGCCTAGCCCACAGGCATTCATTCAAGGGGAAGCCTGGAGCATCAACCTACAATTCC